GGTTTTGTGGCTTTTGTCTTTGTTCTCCTTCATGACTCTGGAATTTTTTTACCATGTGTTTAGTGGTACTTATAAGACAGTTATACACTTGAAATGTACAGAAGTAGCATGTCCTACCATCGGGTGGATGAAGTTGATTATATGGCGGAAGTGGGGGAAATGGCTGATTTCATTGATGAATGGGATGACGAGAACAATGGCAGAGGCGGTGGAGAAGTGCAAGCTAATGAATATGATTTGGTATGATTTCATTTTTTCTGAGTAAATTTAGTTAATTTATATCTCACTTTTCATGGGGGAAACATGATTTCATTTTATTTTTCTTTTGAACCTATTGGAGCAGCTTACCAGAGTAACTGATACATCATCTGTCCAAGCACGGAAAGGAAAAGACATTCAGGGTATCCCATGGGAAAGATTGAACATAACAAGGGACATGTATAGATTGACAAGGCTTGAACAATATAAGAACTATGAGAATGTTCCATTATCTGGGGAGGCTGTGGACAAGGTTTTCTTGATGTTCTAGTAACATATCTTTTGGTCAGTTTAGGTGTTCATAGAGTGCTAAATGTGGTGGTCTGATAACTTGGTTATGTTTGCTTTCCTAGGAATGCAAACAAATGGAGAAGGGTGGCAACTACTACGAATTCTTTCACAATACGAGACTAGTTAAACCTACAATACTTCACTTTCAGGTTTGTAGGATTTACAATTCGTATATTTGATATTTTGATTATTATCAGTTAATTCACTTTGATGTTTCTATCAAGACATCATGTTCTTCTGCAAAGTGTCAAAAGTGTGAGATTGTGTGTTCACCTCCTCTTTTCTTCACATGTGCTCTTTCACAAATATGTGTTTGCTACATGCACAGTCACACAGAATATTCCGTGCATATACACGCTATTTTGTTAATTGTTTTTGTTGTATTGTTATGGCAATTTGAAAAACAAGCTCGAATGTAATGTCTTGTTGTGCATTCACATCCATATATCTTCTCTCTCCCTCTCTCATATATAGATGCATGCAACTGAAAATTGAATCTTCTGTTTCCAGTAATGACTCATCTAAATTAAATTCAATTAAAAGTCTTAAGTAATGTCTTAACCTAGTTGTAGGGCAAGCAGTATACAGTCTTGAGTTGTCTGCTATTCACAGATCAAAGGACAAATGAAAAGGGTTGAGGATATCTTTCTTTAGTTTGAGTACTGATTGATTCAGATTGATTTAAGTTCAATCTACCATTTCGTGGTTCTGCAAAAACGAAGTTGTAGACTGAATATGGTTCTAGAAAAATGTTGCTTTTGTTCGCATTACTGTATTTTGATATGTGTATTTGTGTTCCCTGTCTCCTTGACTTCATTGAAGGCCAGTGTCATTTAGAGTTAATTTACTACTCATTGTTCCTTGTTCCTCATAAGTTGTGTTGCCTAGTTGACAATTGTTGGGATGATAAATATGCAGCTCAGGAACTTAGTTTGGGCCACTTCAAAGCATGATGTCTATCTTATGTCCAACTATTCAGTAATGCATTGGTCATCATTGTCCTCCAATTTGTCGGAAATTCTCAATTTTGCTGGACATGTAGCACCAACTGAGGTATTGAACTTGCATATATATATATATATATATCTGTTGTTTCACTTCCAGTATTGAAGTTTGAGATTTATCATTCTTGTGCATGTCCTTTTACTAGCTTTCTGGTGTTTGGTGGTGTAGAAACATGCAGGAAGCTTGTTAGAAGGATTTACACAAACTCAGATAAGCACGCTAGCGGTTAAAGATAATATTTTAGTTGCTGGGGGCTTCCAAGGAGAGCTTACATGCAAGGTTAGTTGATAGTTTGGCACCTTTTATCTATTACTATTAGAATATAATTGTTTGGTTCTTCTATTTATCAAAGTAACTGGTTGTTTTAGATTGATTAGTCAAGCATGTGTAGGTGAACTGAATTGCCTCCCCTTTAGGGCTTTAAGTAAAAAACAAAGAATTTATCTGATAAATATTTGTGACAAAAGTACCTCTAATAAAAGCAAAATACTCTATAAGATAGTAATTGTCTCTAATTTTACCAAGCAACTTATTAGAGTCTAGAAGCCAAAAAAAGCAATGTATCCAAACACTTCTACAACTGAAATATCTATGAGCTTAAAGTTCGATTAAGCCCATCTAAAACAAGGGTAGAGGGTTGTGCACTCTAATCTGATATGAAGATCTTCTTTGCAGCATTTGTCCATATATTCTGAGCTGACCAGTAGACATATTTCCAGGCCTTTCTTGTTACACATGTTCGTTCTGTGCTTTTGTTTCCAGGAAAGTAACCGAAAAGAAGTACTTCTTTTTGTTTGAAAATAGATATAAAATTTAGGAACATATAGCTGCACAACAGACAGGTAATTATCATGACATGCATAGGCAACCAATGCCCTTCTTTTGAAAAAATATTGATCTTTTGTGCCATCAATTGTCCCCCAGTCTATCATGTCTATATTTCTCTTCTGATTTGCCTTTCTTCTCTTCTTTTCTAGTTGCATTTCTTCTTCCATAAGTTTATTCATTTCAAGCAAAAGGGATACATTGAACTTTATGGTCAGAAATGGGAAATGCTGATTTGCGTTAATGGCCTTACTTTTACATATTGATAACTTTTGGTGACTAGAGTAGATTGGCTGTTTGCTCTTTAGTTACAGGGTTACATTTTACTTTATCTTAGAATCTCTATAGGAATCTGAAAGGCTAACTTTGCCTGTTATTTCTTCCTTTATCCAAAAACCAAAACGTGGATTCTGACGAACTGAGTTACCACTTCCTGAAATACAGAAAATGCACTGTTTGCCAGAGCTTTTGTTCTCACTATTGCGGTCATTTTTGATGGCATTCTAAGAGCTCAACTAACCATAAAAAAAAATTTAAAAATCAAGGATTTATGTTGAAACTTGGGAAAATTACCTTTTGCTCCCTGAAGTTTGTTATATTATACTGAAACCTTTCTACTTTATAAGATTGGATAAAAAACATCCTATTTTGTAAAAACTATGTACACTTTGTCCCACTCTCTATCTACTCTGTTAAAGATTTTGTTAATTATTTTCTGCAAGTTCATAGTTTTTTTTTGAAATAACTGTAACTTAATAGTATTTATTACTAGTATCCAAAGTACATCCACTTATCACTTAAAAAATACCTAATCAATAAACATTCAGAATTTAACAAAAGCAACAAATTGGTTATATATATATTTTTTTGCTTTTGCTGCGGTATCAACTTCCTATCCTATTTTATGCTATTAGTTGGATAATTTTTACATTTTAGCAATATTTTTTCTCAGTTCTTTTATATAAAATGAATAATAGGGGTTTAAGCATATAAGTTTGCAAAATAGGGTTCAGCTTTAAATAGTGAGGTAGTTTCCATATAACACAACAAACATTTAGGGGCAAACTGTAATTTAACCTTAAAAACAATGCATTGGATGTATACTTTTGTGTTCAAAACCAAAAACTATTTTCTGTTAGTTTTTCTTTGACTGAAAACAAAAGAGATAGTTTCTTTGTAAAATTGTACCCAAAACACTTTAGAAAATATTTTTTTCCATGCATTAAATAACTCCTGTAAGAAAACCTATAATTTGTAAGTAGTTTTCTCTTTGACCTTTCCAGTTGCACCCCAAATGCTGAAACTCGAGCTAGCTGCACTTAATGCTAGCAAATATCATTAAAATATGTATGTGCAATTAGAACCTGTAATTAATCAAATGGTGGAGGGCTAACATCTTAGGAATTTCATGGAGTATTTACTCAATTAGGAAAATGCTGTAAAGGATAAGTGGTCACTATTGTCTTGCCTTTTGATTCTCGACTTTTTGATATTGTATCCTTTTTTTTTAAAGTAAAAGTATAATATGTATTGCTATAAGCACCAAATGGTGCAGATCATGTACAATTATTTACAGCTTAATCCTCCCAACAGAAAGTGTTCCTAAACATTTGAACCATAATCAGAGGATGACCCGAAAGCAAAAATTCTAGGTCAGTACATCAAAACCCTTTGTATCCTCAATTCCATCAAAAGCTCTACAATTCCTAACTTTCCATACAACCCACAAAATACTAAGAGGAATAATGTCTACCAAAACATAGCAGCTTTGAAACT